GGGGTGGGGGGAGGGGGCTGGCAGGCCCAGCAGAGGCGAGGCGGGCCATGGGGGGCTGCTGGCGGGCGAAGGGGGTGAAGAATTGGGCGGCAAAGGAGATGGGGTCACGGGGCTGATGCAGGAGCAGGGCCTGGAGGAAGTCGGCCAGCAGTGCCCAGAGCTCGGGGTGCTGCTGGATGTACGTGGCGTGGGACACCTGCAGCTCCGCCTGCAGCGGGGTGGGCACCGTGAGGACAGGCACCAATGTCCCCCCCCCCCAGCCACTGCGCCAGGGTTGGGGGGGACAGGATGCCTGGGTCCTTTTCCCCAGTTGAGGAGCCTGGGGGGTGGTGCTGGCCAGCCTGATCCCCACTGTGCCCCCTGGGAGACCCTGCTGGGGGAGTGGTACAACCCCACGTCCCCTTGTTCCCACATCCCACCGTCTCACCTTCCTGTCCAGGAACCAGGAGTAGAGCTGGATGTCCTCCTCCCAGTCCAGGGGCTGTTTGGGGAAGGGGGGTTGCTGCTCCACCCCACCTGGCAGCAGAAAGGCAGGGCAGGGTGTTCCCCACATCGGCTGCCAGACAGTGGGCAGGGGCTGCCCATGCTGGGGGGCACAAGCCTCCCCCCGCCTGGTACCTGTCTTGCTCAGGATGGACTCATCCCGCAGAAGCACCATCGTTGGGCACCCGACCTCCACCTGCTGAGCCAAATACCTGCCGGGGGGGAGGGAAGAGGTGGTGACACCCCCCTTCCTGGGTCCCCGCCAGGCTGGCAGGGCTGGGGGTGCTCCCGGTCGGACCCCCGTCCGTACCCGTTGGGGAGGAAGCTGCTGTGCCAGACGGTGGAGGTGCCCGCGCTGGCATGCAGGGCTCTCTCGATCACAAACACCTCCACCTCTGCCGAGCCCACCGCCTGCTGCTGGGTGCCCAGGGCACGCTGGGGAAGGGGGGATACACGGCCAGGGGTCACCCCTGCCCTGGGGTCACCCCTGCCCCCCCACACTGTCCACCACACATTCTGCTCACTCCCACCTCCCACATCCCACCCTGGCACCCCCAACCTGACCCAGACCCCCCACCCCAGCCCACGGGCCCTCCTGGCTGGCGGCTCACGTAGCTGGAGGTGCAGAGGTGGCCCTCGGTGTTGATGGCTGGGAAGATGAGGCCGGGGGGCACTGCCCACCGACACGCCAGCACCCGCAGCAGCAGGAGGCTGGCACCCTCTGGCAGCAGCCCCCGCAGCTCATCCCGGCTGTAGGAGAAGCTCCAGCACTGCGGCTCTGCCTGCGGAGAGACCCAACCACCTCGTGGGACAGCCACAGCCCCATTGTCCCCACGGATGACACCCCCCAGAGCCTGGGGGCAACCCTGGGTGGGACAGGCCAGGTCTGCCACCCCCTCTCAGGATGTGTCCCATCTAGAGGGCAGAGGGAAGAGATCCCTCCCTCAGCCTTACCTCTCCCTCCTGGAGGGTCTTGGTGACAGTCATCCCATGCTGGTGGCTCACCATGTGAGTCCTCTTCTGTACCGGGTGTGTTCTGAGCTGTGGGAAGGGGTGGGGGGCACGGGGTGGAGGGTGGCAAAGAGGGTAGGGCAGAACCAGGGGACCCACGCTCTGAGGTGGCATGCCTCAGCACCCCTTTCCATCAGGGTACCACTCCAGATGCATTATGGGAAACTCCCCACCCCAGCTGCCACCCAGAGTAGGGGATGGGGGACCAGGCTGCTGGGACAGAGCTTGTGTCACAGATGGGGAAGGGACACCGGGCTGCCCACAGCGACCTTGTATGGAGTGTGACCCCTAAGGAGGACGTTGCTGCAGGGCACACCCCAGGGCAGGCAGGCAGGACATGGGGAAGGGGACATGTTGCCACCACACTGGTCACCTCCAGGTGCTCCTCTTCCTCCTGCTCCAGGGTCTCCAGCTGCGTGGTCACATAGGCTGGCAGAGCACAGCCACACTCAGCCCACCCTGCTGGCACTGCAGCAGTGTCCCCCCATCCCAGGCCCGAGGGCTGGTGGGACGAGAATGCTCCAGCTCTGGGGAGGGAGGGAGGGGGGCAGCCCAAGCCACCCCCAGCTCACCTTTGAGGGTGCTGGAGCAGGACACCCCATCCTGCCTTCTGCGGGAGGTGGCTTGCACCAGGAGGCAGCTCCGCACCAGCTCCCCTGGCCGCTTGTAGGGTGCCCACCGGGCTGACACCCACCACCGACCCACTGCCTGGTCCCTCGGCTGCCCCCCTGCTGCCACCACATCCAGCATCTCGGTGAAAAGGCAGCGCTCCAGGTCCTCCGGCCCTGCCCAGAGCTACTGTCACCCCTGCCCTGAGGGATGGTCACCCCTGCCCCGAGGGGCTGCCATCCCTGCCCCAAGGGATGGTCACCCCTATCCCAAGGGACTGCCATCCCTGCCCCAAGGGATGGTCACCCCTGCCCTGAGGGACCATCACCCCTGCCCAGGGCACCTCCCTGCCTCAATTCCCTCCCCTGTACCCCCTCCCGTGGACCCGATGCCCCCCACCTCCGCACCGGGGACCCCCATAGCATGGTGTGGAGGACAAGAGGGAGGTCAGGGGAAGGGGAGGGGGTGGATGGGGGACACACACTCGCACACACCCACCGATGAAGTTCAGGAACTTGGCAGCTGCCTCCGTCAGGGCTGGGGTCTCCTGCTGGCACTCGGGGGTGGGCTCCATGCCTCGCCAGGGGGGGTTCCTGTCGGACCCCGGGGTAAAAAGGGGGAGTGGGGTTCCCTCAAACCACGGTGCCCACCTATGTAAGCCCGGGGATGTGTGTGTGTGTCTCCCCCCGGCCCCTGCAGCCTCCCAGCCCCTGTAACTCCTGCCAACGTCGCCCCCCAACCAACACCCCAACAGCCCCCCCACCTCACCAGCACACCCCCAGACCTGCCCGGGTCGGACCCGGGTGCCCCCCCCCCAACAACGCTAGGCGGTCTCCATAGCAACGGCTTGGGCC